AAAAAAAGACGAGAAAAAGAAGTTTTTAATCTAATCAATTTAACGTATGCGCCAGACAATGAATCGGAATAGAATTGCAGACAGACAGAGATAGAGACGGACAATTGAGTCAAGCGCGGTAGTAAGTAAAGTCCGTGAATCGTTCGTTGTGAATTATAGCCTGGGCTTATGTTAAAGTAACTGTGGAAATTAAGTGTATTGCAAAGTTTTATTTAGAAAGAATAAACTAGTTTTATTTAAGAAAGAACTTGTATCGCTGAAGTTTCTCGGGAAGAGTTTCTATAGGAAATTAACAAACGAACAGAGACGTAACAGTATTTTTATATGGATCGGGGGAAGTTTGATGTGATGAGCTCCTTGTAAACTACGAGTTACGCCAAAGTAGGTGACTATTGTTTGTTTGTAATTAAGCACAAAGCTACACAATGGGCTATTTGTGCCCTGCCCACCACGGGTATCGAAACCCGTATTCTACCGTTGTAAGTCAGCAGATATACCGCTGTGCCACTGGGGGCAGGTGATTATTAAGAATTACATAAGATATGAAATTAGCAAGTTAACGGAATTTTTGTTTATTTGTGAAGTTAGATCTATCGATAGTTACATAAAATCGTGGAATTTTTAAACGTTAGAATTTGTATTCGAAAAATAAAACACTTTTGTTACGCTTTTCTTTTTTACCAAATTAAGCTTTAAGGCGAGAAACCAAACAATACAAAATATTTAAATCTTGGAGACATAAATGAGATTATTTTAGTTTAAAAAAATCCCGAATCTACTTCAAGATGACGATGTGTGCTTGAATCGAACCAATAGTTTTCTGGAAATGATGAAATAGTGGAAAGAAGTTCAATAAGAAAGAGACAGGGAGTTAAAAATAAAAAATAAAAAAGAAAGTTACATAAAATTAAAAGAAGACCATGAAGAAAGATATTGTAATTTTAAAACAGGTTTGACATCATGTGATAAGTGCATGGCTTAAACTTCTGGAATTCTCTCTCAAGTTTTATATCAACAGTGTAAAACGCGAGTTAGGCTGAAGAACATGATTATTGAGAATGAGTCTGTTACATCAGACTATTTGATTCATGAATGAGTCTGTTAGTTAGTTCGTCATCGAATAATTAGAACATGATTTAGTTTGTTTGTCTGTTGTTGTCAGCCAGTAAATTAGTTCACTGCTTTTCATTTTAAATTTTTGTTTGTTATAAAGTACAAGAGATACGAACTTAGTAAGTAAATGAAATATCTGCGTAGGCCTTGTTTAGTTGCAAAGCTAGACCCATCATTACTATTCGTTAGTTACGTAAAATCTTGAAGCTTGTAGTCGCTTTTTTATCACTAGGTGAACCGGAGTTTGAAATATTATTTTTACCAAATAATCCTAAAGAACCTGCCAAACATCAGAAGTTATCACAACAATATTATACATAAATTTAATAAATATTGTATTGTTTGAATAACTTTTCTTCTCTAGGCTCTTTCCAATCAGAAAGAAAGGTCTAAATGCAGAAGCTCAAGCTCTTCAGCTCCACGAAGCAAAGGCATGTAACATGTTTTACTAATTAAATTTCTTTCTCTTCAGAGTAACGTAAATAAATATGTGTATAAAGAGTCGATACAATAAAAGCTAGTTTTTTAATCTATATAAGTGCTGCTACGGTCTAGCATAAGTGTGAAGTACCAATTTAAGTAACATTATGTAATAATATTTCCAATTTTAACTTGTTTCTTTTTTTTCTGTCTAGTAGTTTTCTCTTTTTTTCTTATTATCTATATAGAGGCAGACTTCTCTTTTAGCCATTCAACATATAAAAAAATGGCAGTTTGTTGTACCATGAAAAGTTTGCAGCCTTTTATTTTAGTTGTTTCGTTTTTCTGATCCACCATTTAATGAAAATGAAATACTTTATTGCCATAAACGCCGAATTATTGGAAGCAAGGGGTGTTTCACTGGAAATATTATGTTTTCCAAATAAATCCTACAGTGTGTTCATGTAGTAACTATTGCACTGATTTAAGAGCTGTTATATAATCGCGATCCCCGAAACTTCCGCGAATTGTCGTAAATAACATTCAGCGTGGTCATGTGATTCCAGTAGTTAGCATGTTTAGTAAAAAAACATAGTAAATGGAACAAACTGTCAGAAGTTTTGGTTTTAGATAAGTTTCGACACATTTGTGCGTCTTCTTCAGTCTCACGTTGTTTTCTGGTGGGAACACTGATCAATAAGGTGATCCCAGAACTTTGATATCATGAAACTGTTTAGTTTAATTGTCTTAGTAAATTGGACAGGCTTTCGATGATTCTTATTTTTATATAGTTATCTGTTTCATATACATTTTTTTGTTGATTTCCAATCAATTTAACGGCCAAAATTTCTCATATAAAAAAGATGGCAAGTGTTGCAGAGAGGAGGAGAGCTTAAGCGAGAGCATTGACGAAGGAGATGAGGTCCGCGACAATGAGAACAAACTGGTTGGTTAGGGCATTTAGCAGTGGTATGCAAGTTGTATAGTAGGCACCTCTCACAGCGCAGAGCCTGGGGGGCTGGGGAACAGGAAGCTTCAACCCGATAGCGTTGGCGAAAAAAAAAAGGCTCCATTAGACATGAGATGATCTACAGGGTCACTGTTCTCAGCCAAAACACGAATCATGAAGGTAGGACCAGAATAATTTTGAATGCGAATGGCACGCTTGACTGATATGTTTTCAAGTAGAAGTTCGGAGAGGATCCCTTTTTCAGTAATGCCAGGATCAACACCACGGATGGCACAAGAGAAAAGAGGTGTACGACGAGGAAGAGACTGTTGTTTTAGTGCAGGGGAGCGAAGTTGAGTGAGTATGGTAGATTGACCCAGATTGAGCAGGCCCATTTTGTTACGCAGAATATCACACTATTTACGGTTACCAGTTTTCACAATTATGCCATTTCTCGTTGAAATTAGTTGATGAACGTCAGAACGAAGGCGGTATTTAGAAAGTTCGAGAGAGAGGGTTCTGGTAGAGAATTACGGTAACACATTAGTCTGAAGAACTTCAGTAGTTTCCACAGGTCCGAGGTCTTCACCAGAATTGGCGGGTCGAGTGGAGGCAGGAGTCCACTGACTGAAAGTGGTAGAGGCAGAAACGGTAGACGAATAGAACCAGCAGTAGACAGGTGAGAGACAGTAGAGGTAGTTGAACCAGAGGACGATCATAAGACAACGGCAGCATACGATGGTCGCGGAACATCAGTAGTAGTCGAAGAGCTATCCGAGTCCAAACAGTCAGCTCAGGAAGGAGAAACACCAAGGATTGCAAGCTTTCCGAGGTACATCCTCCGTGGGTCGGGAAGAAAGTTTTGGACGAACACGTCGAGGCGACTGATCCGGTTGAACCGACATAATTGGGCGCTCAATAACTGGAGGCAGCCAGAATGCATAGACACAAAGATACACGAATGAAAAAGTAAGGTACAAGTAAGGAACAACTGTCAAAAGTCACTCACCAAAAGGAACCGCACAAGACGATCCGTCGAACTTTATTTACAATATCTCGCGTGTAATTTTAGTTGTTGCGTCAGCGAGTTCACGCCACCTCCTTCTAGAAATATCCTGTTCCTTCATGAATTATCGGGAGACTACTAGATTGGGGGTTGACTGGTATAAATAAGACCGGCCACGAAGCGACGGGACAGTGAATGAGTAATTGAACTGCAGTCAGAGAGTGTGTAATTGAACTGCGTATTGTTGAAGTTGAGCACGTGAGACGTTCGTTGTTATA